GTAAATGTTAGATTCCTTAAATTATTGTTTGTACTTAAAATAAAGTGTCTAACACTAACAGTATCAAAATATTTTTGGAATTACTTTTTTTATATATTAAAAAGTGAAAGGGTTAAATCAGCACCAATCAGATTTTGTATTTTAGTTCTGAACAAGGGGTGTAGGGCGAACCTCAACAGTATTTAATTTTATGAGCAGAGACACGGGATGAAAATGAACTTTACACAGGGAGGCCACTGCAGGTTACGGGGTTTTATGGATTATACCACAGTGGCTTTGTGTCACTTTGTCACTAAATCTCTATTACCAATTGTATCGCACCATTTTATTACATTAATTAAAAAAAAAAAAAAGACTTTTCACATCAAATTACATTATAAAACCCCACTAATAACAGTACTTTTCTGCAATTATAAGTCTCATTCATTTTATCAGACAGAGTTTGACCATGCTATTAGGTAAAATCATTAGTTTTTTAATTTAATATTTAATTTTTTATAAGAATCTGCAAGATTTAATGTAAATGCAAAGCTAAAATGGAATTCAATTTTAATTTCAATTTTATTTATGCAAAGCCAAATCTCAACAGCAGTTGCCTGCGAAACAACTGCATTTTAATTTACCATTATCTGTATTTTCATGCAGAAAACTTAGCTAAAGATTTTTATGTGATGGTAAATTTCCTTTATTTTATTTTGCTATTTTTGGTATCCAAGTGCCAGTTATTGGTTGTTGGGTTTTTTTTTTTTGTTGTTGTTTTTACAAACTTTTTATAGTGTATTTTTTGGTCTCTAAGGGCTGATTTGCTAGTAACCAACACAGAATAGAAAGTTATGAAAATGCAGATTTGGTTCCTTTTTTTCCTTTTCCTTTTTTTTTCTATTTCTCGTGCAGAGTCAGATTCCTTTGGATAAACTAGACCCAGACCCAGATGTTGTGCTGCACATTTCAAACAGTCCTATCCATGTCTATCCTTCTTAAAAGACTGAAAGTTGCTGAATATGTCAACATTTTTTACCAAATCTTATTACCAAAACAATAATATAACTCAATAAAGAATGCGTGGTAATGGGAAGTGATGCATTTGTAAATTTTTAAATGTAACTCTTTTAGTTTCATCTGAAAAGACCCTTCATTGTAGAGGTTAGGTATTCAGTACCTGGCACAGTGAGAAGCAGGACAACAAATCCACTCATTGCTGCTGCAGTTACACTCATGGCTGCTCCTCTCATCTCTCCATGTGATTTCAAAGAAAATTACATCAGTAAAGAATTGAGTTAGTGCATTTCACTGTGCAATAAAATCACTAAAATAAGAATATAAACAAAGTCTTCTTACCATAGAGAAAGATGTTGTCTTCTAATGATAATGTTCTCATATGATCAGTTCAGTAAGCAGAAGGCAGAACTCTAGCTATAAGACCAAGCACACTTCCTTCCTCTTCGAGTTATTATTAGGAATGAAGTCAGTACATCTGGGACTGCTGTAGTTTTCCAATCCATATACAGCACTCTTAATATTTTTTTTTCTTATTTCCTATAAAGACTTTATAATTTCCTATAAAGTCTTGAGGGAATAATTTGTGGTGTTCTAATGCCAAACCACAGCTCACCAAGCCCACTTTTAGAGAGAAAGAGAAATTCTCAGTGTTTTACAACTTTTATCACAAGGAAAGGCATTTTCAAAGTACTTTATATTGCATAGACTGACAGTGGGGCCCATGTAGGATCCATACCGATTTTGTCTTTTTGGGCCCACAAAAGGTAATTCTGTGGGCAACATATATGGGCTCCACCACAGAGAACCCATTATACTAAAGGGATCCCAAAAAAACAAAACTGCTCCACTCCCTTTGTGGGAGTTGGGGAATGGTACAAATGTGGACTGTATACTATACTGCTACTGTAGACTGTTCACATATTTATAATACAGAAACGCCATAGACATCTTATTATATTTCAAAAGAAGATGTGAAAGTTTTCAGGCCAGATTCCATTTTCCATGACAGACTGACCTTTTTGATAGGATTTTATGGTGTTTTTTAAAATTGTTTTTTATATTTTTTATTTCAGTGAGTTGATCCATAGTAGTTTACAGATTTGGTAATAAGTAAATAATTCTTTAGTCTGGAAGAACACACGTATTCCTTGGGTGTTTCAGGAAAGCCATAATTAAAATCCACTAAATTAAATGAGTGATGAAACCTGAAAATGGGTGTAGTTGAAAATAACTACTTGACTAACAAAGCAGCATTACCTGACGAAGACCCCACTCAACCCATAGCTGGGTAGCTATGGGATTGTTCACCTGATACTGATGTAAGCTTTATGAAAAAAGGAAAATCTGAAGCATGATTTCAAACATGGTTCCCGAGAGGAGTCTAACAAATTATGATCCTTTCTGCCATTCCACTTCAAGAAACTGAATTTTGCTGCTCTCTAGTGTTTCAGCATGAGAGTCAGATATATTCTTTTGACAGCTCAAAAAATGCTTCATGATCAAACTGCTGCAGTGAAGCATTTTAAGGTGAGGTGAAGCAGTATTAAATTCTAACTCTGTTTTTCTAAGAATTCATTAATAAACTCAGAGTGTTTGACAAAGGCTCAAATCTGTACACAGCAGCTCAAAGCTAAACGGAGAGAGGCAGGCTTTTCCGTAGACTTTTGGATATAGCTGATGCATGTTGGCTAAAGCAACACAAACACATTATTTTTCAGTCTGAAATGAAGTAATATAACTAATACTGGGAAACTCAAGAAGTTTCTTTTATATGGATTTCAGAGTTTAATTTCCAACTGTCTGTCAGTTTTTAAACCCAGATTTCACCTTTAATAACAGAGACATCAATCAATAATCAGTCAATCAATATTTTATTTGTATAGCACATTTAAAAAGGACAAAGTGCTTCACACAAGGTAGCAAAGCAGATTACAACAAAGGCAACAAAAACAGTTAAAAACAACTAAAAACAGTTATAGTTACAGTTACATAGCACAACTGCAGACCAGGTGGAAGTCTAATTTGCTTCAAAAGGGGAGTTTTTAAGTGTGATTTAAACGATTGAATGGAATCTGACATGCGAACATCGAAGATTGTTCCAGAGTTTGGGTGCGGCAATTGCAAAAGCTCGGTCCCCTCTGGTCTTTCGTCAGGGCCTTTGTTGCACTAAGAGCAGTTGGTTAGAGGATCTGAGCGCTCTCTTGGGGTTATACACGTCGAGAAGGTCTGTTAGGTAACTGGGCACCAGGTTATTTAAAATTTTAAAAGTATACAGAAGGATTTTAAAAACGATACGGTATTTAACAGGGAGCCAGTGTAGATTGGCTACAACTGGGGTGATGTGATCATGCCTTCTGGTGCCAGTTAAGAGGTGTGTTGCGGCATTTTTGAACTAATTGCAAACGCTGGAGGAGACAGAATTGGAGGCCCATGTACAGAGAATTGCAATATATCGTAGAATCAAACAAACCAAATCATGAAATAAGGAGGGGTGAGGCAGGGACAGAGGCTTTATTCTTTGCTGCCAAAAACAAAACAAAAATAATGTTAGGAAATACATTTAGAGGGACCTATAAGTATATATTGGATTAAGTGGCTCCTTATTGCTAATAATTGTGAAGTTAGTGATGTATTAATACATCACAGAAAGTATTTTACATACGGGTAAAAAAAAAGAATTACAATCATTTTTGGAGTTGAATAATTACAGTAAAAACCAAAATAATCCAGAGCACGGGGAAACAAAAGAAACAAGAAAATATTATCAATGATGTCATTAGCACATCTGGATCAAGAGTCATCACAATTAATAAGTTACTGTAACATATGTATGTTTCATTAATATCTGACCAATAACCTAGGAAGAGTAGCGATTCTTGTGACAATGGAAAAGTGCCCATAAAATGATAGAAATGACCTTAAACACAATGCTGCTCAATTTCATACAGGTTAGTTATGACATCTGTGTGAAGACGTAGGAGAGAGAACTCAAAAAGGTCAGTCCAATTTAAAATTGTCTTTGATGTAACTGTATTCAGGAGTGCTGGATGCATACTTAGGACTTCATAAAGATTTTAAAACATTACCGTGGATAAAAAGTCTGCTAGAGAGATGGTTTTCCATGTCTGGGAAGTCTGTTGACTGTGCTGTACAGAGCAGCTGGATCCTCTGCATCTTCTAGAGTTGTGGTCTGGATTCTGCTGAACAGATATCACAAAAAGCTCAAAACAGACTGAATTAAGTTGTTTTATTTCTGTAAACACACGAGAAGCCACTGACCTAGGGGAAGTACTAGCACTCCTGAAAGTGACAGCGGCGTACACGACGCTCTCGTCTTCTTCCTTGTGTTTTTTGGCCTGAGCTGGTTTGATGTTGGCGTAGACCGCATCGGCCTTGTGTTTGACAAAGCGGACAGCAGTATAGACGACTTCGCCATCTGCAGATTGCAGCTGCAGACATAAGAAATGTACAATTCATAAAAGATCAAAATCAGTGCTTTAACAAACACAACTAATGAGTTGTGTTTGAGAGAGTTTTTCCTTTCCAGTCACCTTTCTCATTCACTATGTGTTAACAGACCTCTCTGCATTGAATCATATCTGTTATTAACCTCTGCCTCTCTTCCACAGCATGTCTTTATCCTGTCTTCCTTCTCTCACCCCAACCGGTTGCAGCAGATGGCCCCGCCCCTCCCTGATCCTGGTTCTGCCGGAGGTTTCCTCCTGTTAAAAGGGAGTTTTTCCTTCCCACTGTCGCCAAAGTGCTTGCTCATATGATTGTTGGGTTTTTCTCTGTATCTATAAAGCGCCTTGAGGCGACTTTTGTTGTGATTTGGCGCTATATAAATAAAATTGAATTGAATTGAATTGAATTGAATTGAATTGAATTGAATTGAATTGAATTGAATTGAATTAATGGAGATGCTCTTGGAGGTAAAAGAAAGCTTATGCTCATGAATAACAGATTTTAGGGTGGATCTCAGAGTAGTATACAACTACTGCACGGTTGCTTATTGTTTTAAAGTTGACACCTACAGAGTGCTGCAGTCACTTTAATGCTAGAATGTGTTTTTGTTTCTTTTGTACCAAAATAGTTCACCTCCTCTCTCCTCTCACCTGTTCACTAGTGTCCGGTCTCTCTCCAGGCTCAGGCTGCTGTTGCTTGAGGGATCTCTTTTTTCTGGTCAGGATAATTCATTTTTAATGGTTAGATCAAAGTGCTAAGTGCACTGATATTACAAACTCAACTACACAATAAATGACACTTAGCATCTGCTCACATGATCCATAGGATGACAGAGGCGAGTAGGAGAGCCAGGAGAATAGCAGAGACTCCTGATATAACTGTTGGTTTCCATGCTCCTGACAAAGAAAAGTGGTCAAATCATTTAGAGTTAAGGGTGTGACCCCAATTTTAGACATCACCACTGTAAGTCAATGGATTTATAAAACTTAATCTCACTTAATTACTTAAACTTAAGCAAACAAAAAATCCCCAGTCTAATTAAAAACAGAAAGCTGCATGAGACAACTACATGTGTCACTTATGACTCACAAACACAAACAGAGAACAATATAGTTTCCCCCCCAAACAGAAATAATTTAACAAGAGCAGTGCCCTTTAAATGGAAGGCATACCCAGGTCCACATGGTGAGTTATAACTTTCAGTGTTTAATCAACATTTCTGGTTTCACTTACTTGATACAGTCAGCTGTAAGGTGGAGTAATGATGGCCTCGGTTGTTCTGGGCCACACAGGAATAACTCCCACTGTGTTCAGGTGTGATGTCAGTGATGGTGAAGTTGTGTCCTGATGCTTTTGGTGAGTCTTCATCCTCCTTGTACCAGGTGTAACTAGCTGCTGGGTTAGCATCACTGCTACAGGTCAGAGTGACTGAACTGCCCTCCACTATCTCAGCAGAGGGACTCACTGACACAGAGGGAAGCTTTGGAGCATCTGAAGGAAACAACATTTGTAACTGTGTATTTGAACTTTTATATAGCGCAGTTTAACAGCATAGTCTGAGCTACTAAATGAAACATCCTTTACATCATCCAGTGCAGCTGCTCATTGATCTGTAGCAGCTGACTGTTAATGTTAACAAACGCTGAGTAATCAGCTTAAAGAAACAACCAGTTTTACTCACATTTCACATCAACAAAAAGTTTTTTAGGTGTTGATGCTCCCAGCCTGTTCTCAGCTGTACAGTAATACTCTCCAGAGTCGGCGGACTGGACGGAGTTGAAGGAGAGCCGTGAATCTGTACTGAGAGGTGTTCGATTGTTTGCCTTGTACCAGGTGTAACCGGCTGCTGGGCTAGCATCACTGCTACAGGTCAGAGTCACTGAAATGTTCTCCTTGATTTCACCAGAGGGACTCAGTGACACAGAGGGAGGCTTTGGAGCATCTGGAGGAGAAAACACAGAGAGTTTGAATTTTTGACCACATCAAACAAGTCTGTAAGTGTCGAGTTCTGGAGTTCAACATCCTCAGACACAATATAAGCTGATCAAATGACAGTTTATTATTGTTAACTCCACAACTGTCTGTTCAAATGAGCATGTTTGCTGTTATTAACATTCACACCAGCAGAATATGAAGGTGTGACACTCTGTTAGTCTCAAAAGGTTCATTTCATTGAGAATTTTTCTGGAACTTTGTGTTTTTCTGCCAATGCTCGGATGTGGTTATTCTCATCTAAGTCAATGTCACTATCATCTATTTTCTCACACTTGTCAATACACCCTGAACAGGTTTTAAACCTCTCGCAGGG